ATAATATAATTATGATAGGATTTATCATGTCATGTTTGTTTATAAAAATATAATTTGTTTTGTTTTCATAGTGTGATTGTACTAGAATTCCCTTTTTACCCTTGAGAATTGTATAGTAGAGTACTAGTGCTTCTTTATTTATTTATTTTCTAATTTATCTACTAATGTCTAATATTTTCCTTATACAAAACGTCCATCATTCTACATTTTTATCTTTTCGAAAGTCTAGACCATTTTTATGATGAATATTCATTTTAAATTCTATATTATATTGATCAAGTTAGTTACTTAGCTAGTAGCTAAACTATGTTATAACATCCAATTACATACACATTTTACAACATAATGTGACCTTCCAAACATTCCCCGAGCCCCTCTTTAATAAGGAAGGAAACGAAATAATCTCAATTTTACGACAAATTTAAATCTTTAATGAAAATAATTTTTTATAACATAAATCTTTCCTTTGTTTCCAAGCAAAGGGATTTAGTTGACAAAAAAAATAGTTGGCCCATTTCCCTAACAACCTTCCCAAGAACAATTATTAATTACGAAACATCTTTTTACTTTATTGATCATTATAATTATTTTAATTACGATTACTTGTAGATTTGGTGACTTTTTTTTTAAATAATAAAGAAAAAGGTGTAAAAAATAAATTGTAGTTATGAATCTTAGGAAAAGTTTGATTCTAGCTAGTTGGAGATGAACATTGTCATTAAATATTAATCTTATTTAGTGTTGAGTCAACAATAAATTATCGTAAAATTATATTAGTTATGAATTATTTAGCGACGATGTTCATATCAAAATTTTGATTATTTTTTTAGATTTTGATAATTAGAACAGTAAGTGAAAAATTCTGGTCATGTACCAATCATTGAACTTGGGTTGATAAAGGAAAATAAAAACAAAAAGAAAATAAAAAGTAATTTTAGATGCAGACGCACCGACAGAAAATAATAAATTGTTAGTCAAATGTTAGAAACACAAGTTGGACCAAATTTAAGAAAAATGGTCTAATAATTTTTTAAATTTTTTTACGATATTTATTTCGTATCTTATTATTTGATTAATTGTAATATTTATTTTCTGCTTCGATTAAAAGAAATTTCAATCAAGAGTCTGTTAGAATTTTAGAAACAAAGTATTAGATACTGTTTGTGTTCATCTTACCTTTCTTAGATTTTATTTGTGATATATTATGAATTTAATAATATACATTTTTAATAATATATATTTTTAATTATAAACTACAAAATAAATATTTTAGTAAAGAGATGCATACACCAAATTTAAAGTAAATTGCCAACCAAAAGGGGTGGGAAAAAAATATTCATACACCTTGTTAACAATATTTTAGAGTAGTACTTTTTAAGATTCACCTTAATTATTCATTAGGTTGTTGTGTGTGTATATATATATATATGATAATTTTCATCTTTTATGATTTAAAAAATTAAATTCAAAGTAGGTATGAAAATAGTTAGTTTAACCACTAAAGATTCCGGTGGAATGGTGCATATCATTTTAGGTTTCGAATTTAAATATTAAATTTAAAATCATCTTAAGTAGAGTATTTTATTTTTTCTGTGAATTTTTTAGATATAAATATAAATTAATTCGATTTTTGAATAAACATTAAACATGAAAATAAAAAAAAAGTTGTTTAGTTTGAATAGGATAGTTTCCTAATGCATTACGTGGCATAATTTCATGCATTTCAATTACTCACCTGTATACATTAAAATAGAAAAACGTCTTTGGTTAAATTTGTTATATATGTTAGGTATGATAATTTATTAGAAGATTTGTATTTTTAATTTGTTGATTGTAAATACTGAAATAGGCTCATTTGGTGAAAAGGAGGTTGTGGCCTCTTGTGTGTGGGGGGGGGAGGGGATTTAACTTTCGACGTTTAATTAGATATTTTAAATTTGAGTTATAAGAATACTTTTTTTTATATAGGAAAATATTTATTTTATTTGTTTGATTATTATATTATTTTTTTATTATTTTTGTTCTTTCTCGATTATATTTAGTATGACTTTTTCATTATTGTGTTTTTCTTTTAAATTTTGCTTATATGTTATTTAAGTCTAGAGTTAATTGAAAATAACATTTCTACTTATACAAAATAAGAATATATAAGGTCAAAATACGTATCATTTTTTCAAATCAACTCGCTCATAAAATTATATTAGATATATTATTATAATATACAAATACGTCTGTTACTAAATTTTATATGATAAAAATCTAAACTAATCGAATCAATAAATATCAAACTATCAAAAATTTATTAAAAAAAAAAAGAGCCAACCACCACGTTATTTGAGTGACCTAGCTTTAATAACGTTTTACCATCTTTTTTTAGAAATCAGACAAGGATGTGCATAGCTAACATATTAATGTCATGTTATTGTACATCACTTTAATTAACTTCATAAAAAAATGAAAAAAACATGTGCTATCGATGCATAAAAATAATTTATTTTAAAAAAATTATTAATATATTTGGTAAAATGATAAACAAGAATAGAAATCCAACTGAATAACTTTCGTTATAGATATAATGCTTTTACATTTTATCATAATTATCTAATAAATTTTTAATTCCGTCACTAATTATTTATGATCTCCTATCAGTCCCTATAGACTTTCTATTGATTATTTAATGGGTACAATATTCTAGAATTTTGTATGATGTAGGGGTCTAGAATTTGGATTTTCCAAGTGTTTGAATGGCTAAACAATAGGGGCCCAAATGTCCTAATCATTTCTCTTGGGTTATTATCATAAATATGGAAGAGAAGTCTAATATTGAAACTCCTATGGTCACATATAAATTATACGTTAATACCTCCTTCGTCCGGTATTGTTTGTCATGATTTCTATTTTTAGAATCAAACTATAAAAATTTTAACTAACATTTTAACATATATTTTTTCATCATATTAATATGCAAAAAATTGTAATTTATAATTCTTTTCATATAGTTTTAGAATATTTAATTTTTTTATTTAAAATATTAAATTAATGTAATCTAATTTACTTTTGAAAATTAGTTACGACAATCGCAACATAACAAATAATTTCGAACGGAGAAAGTATCTTTTAATCTTCAAACCAATAAAAACCACTAGATGAATCTTGGTGTTGGATGAAGGAGAATGACAGTTTATTTGGAATTTATATAGGAGGGAAAAAATAATTGATTCCAAAAAAAATCGTTTTATAAAAAATTTATCTCAAAAAGTTAATTCTTTTTATGGATTTTTAAAAATATATTTTTCATAGTAAAAATAAGAAAATAAATTTCATAAGTGATATTTTACCTTGTTTATTTTTTATCCGTAGTCATCCAGCCTTTTAGCTAAGAATTATGTCATGTACATGTTAATATGTAAGTATCTTTTTTACGCTATTATATAATTTAAAAAATAATTTCTATAACATGTGAAATTGATAAATATTAAATAAAGGCTAATATCAATAACAATAAAACAGAAACGTATAATCTTTTACAACATGTTAAATTTCACTGACTATAGTAAATATTGAATTAGGTTTATTTTTCATTACAATTATTACTTTAGTTATATAATTTATTTTGATAATATAATGATTAATAAATATTGAAAATCTTTGTAGAATCAAATTGTTTTATTCAAATTTTTATGATTAAGGGACACAATATAAAGTAGTGAACAAATAACATGGGTTAAGCATACCTGCCATGTGGGGTACATCTTCCATTATTGCACTAACCAAACTAAAACCACTTCCTACTCTATTCTATACTTTTTCTTATATTATAAAAGTTAAAATAATTAGCTACAAATTTTATTACAAATTTATTATTAAATAACCTTTAATTTTAATAATTCATCATTTGAATAGAAGCAAAATATACTATTCCATCAACCTCATATTAGTTGTCACGTTTGACTTTCTTTAATAATAATTTGACTGAATTCTGAAGCTAAATTGAACTAGATTTACTCAGTATTTTATAATTAAAATTTATTAACTATATGGTAGTCATAAAAATATATTGGTCAAAGTTTACTTAATTTGATTCTTAAAAAATAAAAAATATGATAATTAACATGAGATGCAATAGATAATTTATTTTTCTTAATTCAATTTAAACTTTAACGAATAAAACTATTCAGTATCTGTCATGGTAGAAATAGTCAAATAAAGTGTCCATAACTTAATCAACTACCAACACATAGAAGTGCTTAGTATAGAAGTGATTATCACTAACTATAGTATTTACTATTTAAAGGCACAAGCAAAATTTTCACTAAAATAATTAAAAAATTTAAAATTGAAAATACAGGAAAGAGTGAAAGAATTCAATATTTACTATTTACTAGTATGTATAAGTAAAATATAATTTTACTTATATGTAAATAATGTCATTTTTCACTAAAAAAGGAATATTCATTCAATTTCCTCAACTCTATCTGGCTTCGTTCCTATTCTATTCTCGAATTCCTCAGCTCTATCTGGCTCCATCCTTATTCTTTTCATTCAAATTCCTCAATTCTATCTGACTCTGTATCTAATCTGTATATTCGAATCCCTTGACTCTATCTGACTTCGTTATTATCCTTACTTACTACTTCCTTCGTTTGGAAAAAAATGATCCTATTTCATTTTTAGTCTGTTTAAAAAAGAATGACTCTTTTTCTTTTTCGGCAACACTTTAACTTTAGCTTTCCACATGACATGTTTAAGACCACAAGATCAGATGACATTTTGATACATTTGACAAAAATTTAATTTAAAACCATAAGATTAAAAAGTCTTATTTCTTTTCTCAAACTCCGTTACTAGTCAAATTAGGTCATTCTTTTTTAAACGGAGAGAATATTAAGATGATACAATATCTTTAGGTTTGAAAAAAATAATATAGAAAAAGTAAAGGTGAGGTGTGCCAATCAAATCCAGCACATGCAAACAAAGAGTATATAGTCAGCAAACAACTAGCTAGCCACCAGACAATCAAATCAATATCATAAATTTCAACAAATTCTTCTCCTAACTTCACACATCACACACTTATCTCTTTTCCCTTCTTTCATACTATTAATATCACACACCTTTTTTTTTCCTCCTTCATTCTCTCTTTCCTTTTCAAATAATCACAAGGAATTCATTTCTAGTTTCAATTCTTAGCTATGGGTGGTGATCACAAAGAGAAGGTAACTACCTATTCGTCGTTTCAATTTATATGTTTTACTTTCTTTTTAGTCTGTCTAAAAAGTATCTATCGCTTTATATTTGATGTAAGTGTTCAATTTCGACAGTTTAAATGTAAGATTGACTATTTTTCCACTTGTTTTATCGAATCAATTGTAGTGAGAAAGAAAGTTTTCGAGGTACTTAGACTTGAATAGAGGGTATTTTTGAACTACTTGGCTAACAATATAAGGATATTCTTGTTTCAAAAATGAAACATAGGGCAAAGTTATTTATTTGGAATCTTTAGGGGTAACTTTTGGGTACTAATTCATTCTTATTGAAGAATAATTTGAACTTATTACTCTAATAAGATAGCTATTATATATGGACACATAAAACATCTATGATTTTAGTTAAATTCCAAAATTTTAAAACATAATTTTTCTTCGATTGAAATTTTGTATCTAGTCAAATATTATCTAGATAACTTTGACCGGAGAGGTATAACACACTACAATTTTCAAGTTTTGAACATTTTTTTTTACCAATAATGGAAATAACCTTACAATTTTTTTCTTTTAATTTCTCAATAGACCACTGTAATGGTGCTAAAGGTTGATCTTCAGTGTCCCTGCTGCTACAAGAAGGCCAAGAAAATTCTCTGCAAAATGCCTCGTGAGTCACCTTTACATAGAACGTTGTCTGTCTTATTTTCAAGATTCTAATTTCAAATAATTATTCATAGATATTTTTTTTCGGAGTGATGTGATAATGTTTATTTTTTTTTCCAAATATTTCTTTTGTATTTGATGTTAAAATGATTTAAATTGCAGAGGTTCGAGATCAAATGTATGATGAGAAGGCCAACACTATCACCATCCTTGTAGTTTGTTGCAGTCCTGAACGGATTCGCGACAAATTGTGTTGTAAAGGAGGAAAAGCAATCAAGAGCATTGAGATCAAAGAGCCCTTAAAGCTCAAAGCTCCTGAAAAGCCCAAGGAGCCCGAAAAGCCCAAGGAAAAGCCCGAAAAGCCCAAAGAACCAGAGAAGAAACCCAAGGTTGTCACTTTTGAAACGCCCAAGGAGCCCGAAAAGCCCAAAGAAAAAGCAAAGGAGCCCGAAAAGCTCAAGGACAAAGCGAAAGAGCCCGAAAAGCCCAAAGGGCAAGAAAAACCCACTGTAATTGATAAGCCCAAGGACAAAACAAAAGATCCAGAAAAGCCCAAGGACGGTCCAACATCTGCAATGGTGGCAACCCCATGGATATCCGAACCAATAATGATGATGCCTCCGGTCCACGGATACCCCCAGGTAATGCCAAGTTGTGGCTGTGGGCAATGCCATTATACCGGTGGCCCGTGTTATCAATATTATGGAACACCCGTACCCCCACAACCCGCCCCATACTACGGTAACTACTCGTATGGATATGGGCCCGGCCCGGGCCCATCTAGCTATGGAAAGGGTTATTACGGAAACAATGATTACTATAATGAAGAAGATGGTCAAGGATGCACAATTATGTAATTGTGGCCCTACTTAGTACTTCATTATTGGGCTTTCAAAAGAGCCCAGAACAAAGTTTTGGGCTCCATATGGATGTCTATTTTCTATATTATTACTGTGTTCATTAATAATAGTACCATATTCGATGTATACAAGGTATATAGTTTTTATTTTAATGATAAAAAGTGCATAAAGAATAATAAGTAGGTGACCAGATGGATGGTGAACCGTCTTATTATATAGTACTTATTAGTAATTGATTATACAATTTGATTAAAGAAAGCACTTCACTAATCATTGCTCTTTTTAAAATAATACTTTGTGGTATAATATATCTTTGATTATTTGTTTATTTCCCACTTTGTTCTCCATACATGTACACCAATGTTGTTTCTATCGTTGTTTTATTCGTTACTCTATGATTTATTTCGTTAGTGGCGGAATCAAAATTTTTGATAATGGATCAAATTTGAAAAATAGATAGAAAAATGTAAGGTAGCACTTGATTGATGGGTGGGCGTAAGATTTTACTCTTAAGTTTATCTATTTTCTTTGATTTTCTATAAATTTAAATTTAACTCATAATTTTTTAATTATATTAAATTTAATATAAATATAATTAAAATTCTGACTCCGCCTCTATATTATAATACGATGAAAAGATCAACCATAGTGTGGATAAAGGATAATGCTATTATTTTTTATTGTGTGTCCCTCATTTTTAGCACCGACATGGAATTGACCTTCGAATTTTCATGTTCTCATTAGGTATAACATTTAGAGAATATTCAGGCCTCTGACTTTGGTTAGGTTAACTTTTATATAATGAATAATATTATTCTAGTTTTTTTAAATTATAATATTATTTGTCTTCTGTTGGCCTAATATACTTTTAAATTTTTTTAAATTAGACATCAAGTTGTTCGAATGATAAGCGTCTCACTTTCAATATTATGAGTTCGAGTGATGGAAGGAGCAAAAAAGGATGAGGAAAGCCTAGGAAGGGTGTATTTTACTAAATTAACCTAAATATTTTTTTAATATGAAGGAAAAACAAACCTTTTTTAATTTATTAAAATAAATAAATTAAAATATATATATATTTTTTTTATATATAAGGAATAAGTAAAATCGAACGGGTAAAAGTCAATAGAACTAAAATGTTAAATTTTAGTTGAATATATTCAACATTAAAGACCTTAAAAATTAAACTAATTAAATTAAATCTCGTATCCAACTCAACCTTCAAAGGGTTGTCGATTAACAACCCTTTGCTGGAATTGTGTATGAATAGGTAAAAAGTTAAAATAAATACTTATTTATTCATATATTTATTATTTTATATTTCTAAAATGGGATAATGCACAATACCCCTCAACCTATGCCCGAAATTCCAGAGACACACTTATACTATACTAAGGTCCTATTACCTTCCTGAACTTAGTAATTTTCTACCCTTTTTTGCCTACGTGGCACTAGTTTGAAAAAAAAATCAACCATCATTGAACCCACAAGATAGTGCCACGTAGGTCAAAAATGGGTAAAAAATTATTAATAAAATAAGTTCAGGGGTAATAGGACCTTAGTATAGTATAAGTGTGTCTCTGGAATTTCGGGCATAGATTGAGGGAGTACTTGGACATTATCCCTTCTAAAATTTTTGATTTCGTCACTGTCTCGAGAAGTGACTCTTGATGAGCTCTTTATTCCATTCACATATAATAACATAACATAATTCACTCTTTCTTGTCCTTGAAATTTAAATATGCATGGTTGCACAATTTTTTTTATTAGTGTAAAGTTGCTCTTAATTAAAGGTGGTCTGCACGTTTGAATATTATTTTATCACTAGGTCATCACTATAAATATAGATAGTCCTTTGTAAAATAACTCATAATTTCTCCCCCCTTCAATTTTCATGCAATTAATCATGGGAAATTGTATTGATACATTATTACTATCTCCATCTTTGAATAATCAAGAAAATGATATATCCAATGATCAAAAATTGATTAGATGTGATGAAAAAGAGATGCAATATTATGTTATTCAACAAGTAATTCATCAACAAAATGAAAAGAATGATGATTGCAAGAATAGTCAAAGAATCAAGATTGTGTTATCAAAGCAACAATTGGAAGTTCTTGTGAATAATGTTAAAGAGCTTCAATTTGGACGAATTCCAATTGATCAATCTTTGAGAGTAACTGAGTCTTGTAAAAGATGGAAGCCTTCTTTAGATACTATTCCGGAATTGTAACAACAACAACAACTACGTCTCAATGCCAACTAATCAGAGTTTCTTCATTTCTAGGGATGAAATCCGAGACCTCTGATTAAAATGGAGGGATCTAATCCATCCCATCACGTACCTCGGTGATATGAACATGTTGAAATGTTCAAATCTCCGATTGAGGTTGTCTAGACACATATTTGATTGTAGTCAACCCTAATAATTTCCAAATTTGACTAGTTTTAGGAGTAAAGTTGTTATAAAAAGAAGATGAGATTCAATATAGGTGCAAAGTTGGCTAGTTGTGTTTCTTGATTTCTTCACATTATATTTTGGAAAGGGAGAAATCCATAAATGGAACATTCCTATGTATATATGTCTCTCTAGGAGCATAACGATTTATGTGCTGACTTACAAAATGATCATTTAGACATCTTCAAAATTTGTATGTTACCTCAACTCTGGTATCCACAAGAAACAGTGAGGATGAGTTAAGGTGTTTAGATGTGCATTTTCAAAGTTGGAGTATTTAGTTGTAAGTTGAGAACAAAGTCTATCCCGTCTATGTAATATGTCTTTTTTTTTTTAATTGTGCGCCTTGTCAACGTGTTTGAAATAATAATATATATTCACAAAGTCAAATTTTCGCTTCTCTTTGACATAAGGCTCATCTTTAGTTGTGCAGCTTCCTGCAGAAATTACAGAGTAAGACTGCATATAATAAACCTTTTTGGTCGGACCCTGCGTATAATAGACCCTAGTGCACCGAGTTGTGGCACAATTGTCAACCTGTTAATATAATGACATTATTGTATCGTTAAGAAATTTCAGTATTGAATTTACTCTTAAGAAGTGATGGAAGCTATCATGATTTATGTTAAGTGTCTTGTGATATTTGAGGGAATGAACTGTTGTCTCCTTATATGGTATTACGTGATTTCAACTCATGAGTAGCTTTGAGGGTAGAGTTCGACTCAACATCTCTTAAAATGGTATCAAAGCCAAACCTATCCAAATTCTTGATTATTTACACAATATTGAATCCTCATGTTATATTGTCCACGCACCATACGTTTGAGGTGTTGAGGGTTACGAGTTCAAACTTCCAATTATTCTTACTATACAAATAAGAAGCAAAAACAAAAAAATTGTTACAGTTCAGCTGTGACAGAGCTAATCACTCACTTTACACATAACAAATCAATTGAATCTTATTCCTTTGATCAATCACTATTCATTCTTTGTATATATATACAAGAAATGTAAGAATCAGACTGATGAAAACCAAGGGAGTAGCTTCACTTTTTTGTTCCATTACATGTATCTTCAAGATTCATAGTGCCCCACGCATAGCAGGAGCTTAGTGCACCGAGCTGCCCTTTTTTTACGTGAATCTTCAAGATATTCTCATGATCCTAATTCAAATATAGATCATCTTCAAAATTAGTATGGTCTAATGACAGTGTATGAAAAATATATGTTGCTCGGATCCTTCAAAAATGTAGCTGAGCCCTTGTCAGATCTTCCGAACATGCTAAATGTTTGGATGATCTGACATATATGTAGTGACATTTTTGGAGGATCCTAGCAACATAGCAAAAATGATGATAAAGGATATACTGACCTTGTTGCTTCACTTTTCGTTTTCTTGCTTCAACTTCTATAGCTTTTGACAATGTCTCGATCTTCTTTGTTAGTATCTGTAAAAATCAAACAGATTGATCAAACTGATAAAAAGAAGACGATAAACGTGTGTAAAGACTTCTGTTTTATGGTAATATTTCACCTTAATTTCTTCATCTTTAGTATTCAAAGCAGACTCTTTTGTCTCACAAAATTTCCTCAAACAGATAACTTCTTTCTGTAGCTTGTCATACAAAAAACCAGATACTATATCATCGTTTACGCTCTGGCTGCATCCATTAGTCTTAATTTCATCCTGATCACCTCCTCCATTCTTTATCTTATGCGCGTCTATGGTTTCTTTGCTGTTTATATCCATAATGGAATTCTCCTTCGTTTCTGCGTTTTCCTTTCCAACAGTACTGCCAATGATCTTATTTTGAGAAGTCCATAAACTCTTTTTTACCAAGCTATTTCCAAGATAGTGTTTAGTCTTTTGAGGTTTTGTCGATCCATTAGGATTGAACGCTTGCTTCAGACCTTCTTCGAGTGTTTTGAGCCTTAGTTTTAGCTTATCCTATAGCAAAAATTTTTACCAGATGAGTGGAAAACAGATGAAGTTAGTTTCAAGGATCGCGTAGTGTATGCCAATTGAAAACCTCACCTTGAGTTGTGCTTCTGCCTTCGCTGTTCGCTCTGATATGCTTAATTTGTCTCTCAATCGTTGCATCTCCGCCTATAACATATAGGTAAAAAAGTATCTCAGTAAGTCTAACAGATAAGTTATGATCAAAAATACTTATTTAGTAGGCGTTTGGACATGGAAGTTTGGTAAAAAGAGTTTTTTGAAGTCGAATTTCTGTTTGGACATTCATTTCACTTGAGAACTGGTTGAAGTTTTTTGAGTGGAAAATGTTTGAAAGGTTGGTCTATGTCCAAATGTCTCCTTAAGTCGCGCAATATCTTGCTTTAGTAACCTGCAACAGCCTTCTTTCTTCTAGCCATTGTTTTACAGGCATAACTTTGTCATTTTCATCTTTCCACTCATTTGCCACGACAGTTGCTACTCGGTTAGCTGAAACCTTAACTCTTGATAGTTCCCTTTCCAATGTCCTCTTTTCCTCCTACAAGATTCGGAAAAACTATTCTCAGGCCTTTATGATCTATAACATAGTCGTACGTCTAGTAGCATTATTAAATATGTGTCTAGATGTTTTTTTACTTGTAATTCAGATATTCTTCGTTTGTAGTCACGAAGTGTATTAGCTGCTGCTCCTCCAGCAAGAATGGCCTCCTCAAGCTCTATAATCGTTTGACTAAGCTTTTCCACCTCAAGAATCTTTTGACGGTTCGTCTTATCAAGTATTTTGTTTTCCTCCTGCATTGAGAGGAACGGCGTAGCCAAAATTTTCACTAGGGGAATTCAAGATGTAAAAGAAGGAAATACACAAAAAAGTGAAGGGAGTCCACCGTCTATTGTAATTTTCCGGTTGAAACTCCTACCTGGAAGATTTCAATCTGTCTTCTTAGTTCAAAGTTCTGATTTTGAATCTCTTCTACTATCAATGCTCTTTCTAAAGCACTTTTTAGAATTCGTTCTGCTTCAAGCAACGCGGCTTCTTTAGACCTCGTGTGTCTTTCCAATGACCTTGTATCCTCCTGTAATGCTGCAATCTAATGAATTCGCCAAAGAAAACAAGTTAATGCTTGCCAAAGTACTTGGAATGTGTTTTTATCAATTTTTAAGTACCTCATTCTTGTACATCTTAATCTCTGCCTCGAGTGGAGCAATAATGGACTCGAGAGGAGGAGCATCATCGTCTTTCTGATCTGCGTATACTCTTCTAAGAGTTGCTTCAGCAGCATGCTGTGCAGCCAGTGCTTCTTTCTTCTCGTTAACAAGTCGTTTGATATCAAGATTCTGCATTTTGACGTGCCCTTTTTGAGTAAAGAAGTGGTTGCTTTTGAATAGCATTACCTTTTACACGAACGATGAAATGACATTACATACCTTTTGTTCAACTACATCTTCACCAATTTTCAGCTTTCCTTCCAATCTTTGAAATTCATTTCCGAGCTGTGAAAAATGGGAATTTCATTACCAAACGATATAATAGCTAAACTATAATAAGCAAATGTATGCAAAAATAGCAAATCCAATTGAGTTGAGAGTACCTCTTCAAGAGCCTTGTCTTTGAGGACTTCAGATGCTTTCAGAGCCTTAATTTCACTTACCGCTGCTCCAAGTTCTCGATCCTTCTCTGATGAAATTCACATCAAGAATTGAAATTTAATAGCTGGATTCCGCTCTTATATATATCCGTAGCATGTTACAGGCATGCACATATACACGTCGAAGCTTCAGAAAAGCCAGTTACCAAAAAGTTGATATACTACAGCCCGAAATGTAATGTTTATACCAAAATGCAAGGTTCAATAACAACAACTATGTCTCAGTCCCAAACAAGTTGAGGTCGATCATTTAAGCTCATGTCATGTCATCATCATACCTAATCGCTAAGATCATTTCGGTGTTAGCCTAACAAGGACTACCTGAATTTTATCAGCAGATGATTATTTGGCCTATTTTTAACACAAGCTGGACAGACAATCAGAACAAACTTAGAATATACTCAATTCTTGATTCTTAAATTTTCAATTGTTTTTGCCTGCTGATTGAAAGTTCCATCATGTTGCTCGGACATTTCAAAACTAACACCAGGTACATGTTAGATTCTTCAAAAGTAGTGCATCTTTTTAGGACTTGACATATATATGACAAGTTGACAACGTTTTTGGAGAGTCCGAACAACATAGCTAATAACAGAAACCTTGTCTCTTTGTTTGACAAGATCATGAAAAAGAGATCATCAAACATGTTCCCACATATCTAAATTTGAAAGCTTTTTGGTAAACAGGATGATGTAAAGCTTGTTTTTAACATCTTAGGCAGAGTTGTTGACTCCTCTAGAAACTATAGTTATTGATCATATGTCCAAATCAATCCAACTATGAAAGTAATTAATATTTTTTTTAATTTTAAAAAATCATCTATTAAACATGTTAGATATTAAGATAAGACAAAAAAGAGGCACTTTGGTCTACCAAGCTCCCGCTATGCATAGGGTCTGAGGAAATGCTGGACCACAATATGTCTATGTAAGTAACCTAACCTTTCATTTTTACCAGAGTTTGTTTTCGCGATTTGAACCCGTAACCTCCTGGTTACATGGCGATAACTTTTTACCATCCGTTACATATGAAGCATGAAGGGGAGCCTTGACGCAAAGGTAAAAGTTACTGACATGTGATCAGGTGGTCACAGGTTCAAGCTACGGAAACAACCTCTTGTGAAAATAGGCAAGGTAAGCCTATGTACACAAGACTTAATGTGATTCGGTCAATTCTCCATACCCTTGCCTAGCGGAAGCTTAATGCACCAGGATAAATACACAAAACTTTCATGGCAATAGGAAAAACACCTACTAGCATAACATTTAATCAAGAACCACAACAGAAAAATGAAATCTAAAAATAGTTTTTTTAACCTTTGAGTTGGTTCTGCAAATTATTGAGTTCCAAGATAACAGGATCAGGATGAACATGAAAAAGTTCCTCACCACAAACTTCATAAAAGCCTGACATTTTTATTTTCTATGACTTTCAAACTATAGTATAATTCTTGAACTTAAAAGGTACTAAAGAAAGAAATAAGATGTGTAGAAGAGTTTGTAATAATTGTAGCTATTTGAAGTGTACATTTACTTATATAAAGAAAACAAATTGAGTTTGAATTAAGAGAATGAACTTCCCCTCTTGTTAAGCAAACCTTAGCACAAAAAAAACAAATCAAAACCAACTTAGTCATTTTTTATTATTATCCTTTTTAAGTTTTTAGTGAAATACTATTGTACGAACCTGACGTAACACAATAATTTATTTTCATGTGATCAAGAATTTATCCGTTTAAATCGTAAAAATAACTTCTCGCAAAAATATAAAATATAACTGCGCACAATAAATATTTATAATCTAACTTTTTTAGCTTAGTGCATCGAGCTGACGACTTTTATCTTTCGAAAGACTACAATATAATATTTGAATTCCTCATTCTTTTTCCTAGTTTAACTACTCAATTTTGAAAAAGATAGTAATGATTATATGGAACAATATCCCTATATGCTTAACACATTTCTTTTATATTTATTAATTTGTATGGTTTAGCTGTAACATATTCTTGAAATTTGTTTTTAGTGGAAAAGGAACAATTAAAAAAATGGACCACACCAAATAATATTTAAAAAATTAGTGAATTTAAAATTAAACAAGACAAAATGCTAGGGAATAAAGGCTAAGTTGTCCTACACTTATCTGGACTTTAACTTTTGAAGCTTTCCTTAAGCAGAAAAAGGGTGTTAGGTAATCAAGTTTCATTTTATTAAAACAATAATAAAGCTCTTCTTATTTTTTCTATTCACCCCCCCCTCCCCCCCTTTTTTTTTTCTTTTAGGGAAAGAGATTCTTATAATTTTTTAAAAGGGAAAATGCACAAGTATATCTCAATTTATGCCTAAAATTTTAGAAATATATTTATATTATATTAAGATTCTATTATCCTTCTAAACTTATTTTATACATAATTGTGGGTCCAGTGCATGTTGATATTTTTTTTCAAGTTAGCGCCACGTAGGCGGAAATAAGGATAGAAAATTATTTATAAAAAAATTCAGTGTGATAATAAAACGTTAGTATAGTTTAAGTGTGTCTCTGAAATTTTAGACTTAAGCTTGGAGAAAGATACTTATACATTTTCCTCTTTTTTAAATTTGATTATATGATATTTGAAATTTGTTAGCCCAGCTAATTCAGATTGACACTCTGAAGGTTCTAAGTGGGAAATACTCTCTATTAAAAGTATACGGAGCTTAAATCCACCATCTAATAATTATTGAAATTCACATGTTCGACTAATTTAAATTTACACGCAGTGTAACTCATTTAAAAACGAACATACTCTCTATCATAAATTTCTTCATACCAAAGACTCGAACGCATTGGTCCACCGCTTAAGGTTCATTTGAGGGGGAAAACACTTTCCAACAAAAACAGACTTCATTTCCCGAGGCTCGAATCCACCATCTGGTACCGTTGAACCCGTTGGCCCGACTAATCCATGTCAAGTATGGCCCGTTTAAACAGAAATTCTTCCTATCAATTTTTTTTTCATTTTCAAAGCTTGAACTTAAAACTTCTGACGAAAAATTGACGAGATCTCATTTGTCCTATCACAATATAAAGTAATAAAGAAAAGAGATTAGGATGTACAACTCTAATATAATTAACTATGAGAAAATTAGCTTAAGGAATTGATGTGATATTTTCCAAAAATAATCTCTAAATATTGATGGGAAGCTCCTTCCACTTTAGATTAAGAACAAATTAAATTGCTTGAGCGTTAAACACTCCATAAAATCTTGAGATCATTGATAAAATTCAAAGAAAATGAGATGTTGATGACAAATAATTGAAAAGGGGGATTTAAACTAAGTTTGCTTTAAAGTACATAAACAAACTTTGTTGCTTTTAAGTATGAATGACTAAATATAATTCAAGATAAGAGCAAAGAATTTTTTTTTTTACCATATACTAATACTTCTTAAGTTTGATATTATTATATATAAAGCTTCTGATAGTTGGATGACACTTGGCAAATGGAATTATTCAAGTTCTACATGATCAAATGTTTTGGTTAGGAAAAATAAATAAATAAAATGTATTTAATGTAATCACACAAGTAGCATCTCGATAAAATAAAATGTATGTATATCTTATTTTGGCATAATTTTTTTGGTCAGAAATTTGATCGAATTAGATTTTTTCTATGTAATTTTACTTTTAAAAAATATTTTCTCTTTATTTTGAATACCTTTTATTAAAAAATGGTAAAAAGATCAATTTATTTTAAAATAAAAAAGATATTAAGTTTTAAAAAATTTCTGATCAATTTCTGGCTATTTAGCACTTCTCTTTTATTTTTGCCTTGTAAAGATAAAAGTGATTATTTTCGAAAAATTTTCAACTCCATTAACGCATATTAAGGTAGTCTGAAAAGAAAAAAAAAGCGCGACACAAAAAAAATGATAAAAATTTATGTGCACATAATTATTATAAAGTTAACAATAGAACAAAGGACATATCAATTTTAAATGATGAAGTTGAATGTATAATAAACCTTTTTCCCTTTATTAAATATTACTTATCGCTAAAAATAATAATTATAAATTTAAATTCCATTTAAATTTTGGCTCCGCACATAAAGGCATATGTCATGATTTGGTGTAAATACAAAGTAGATATATATGTTTACCTAAAAATAATAATGTGATCCTAATATTCAAAACAATAATTGATTTAAATCCTTAAAATGAAATAAAAAAGAATAGCAATAAAATTACAAATATTCAAAACATGTTCTGATTGGCATATTAAGTTTTCTTTTCTACATTAATTACTTAATGAAATTACAATATTTTATACTTCTAAAAGTGATATGATCAAATTAGTGGGGTTTCTTTGCTACATTTATGTGATGAAATTCCCAGTTGTAAAGTTTCTATAATTTTTATTTAATAATATCTTTTGATAATTAGCTTTAATTAGGTAAATTATGATAAGGAATTTGTTCTAATAATTTCTTCCTTCTTTTTCTCTTTTTGTTTTTTTATATTACGTATATATCACTCCATTATTGATGCCTTAAGTACTTTTTTCTTGTTTAATTAGGAGTCCATTATACTAATTAACATCCGTTGACTTATAAATCAAACTTCTTATATGGATAAGAAAAAAATCATTTTAAAAAAGAATGTAAGTGTGACGTTTTTGACAGAGGGTGGACCGATGAGGACACATCACAATCAATAAACGTTTAAGTTGACAAGTTTTTGAAGAAGAACAAGCGTACATAATATCTTGACATATCTCGTTGAAATGAATTTTTAAATTTTCTTTTTATAAGGCTAATACAACTTCACACACTTTTTAAACTCAAAGATGTTCGAGGGACAAATAATCGAACTAAATCGATAAATTTAATTATGTTTGGATTGTCATAATTTTTTTTCTTGAAACTTGTAACTTTTTTTTAATTTTATGGATGTTATAACGTTTGTATAACTATTAAAATTTATTATGAAGGGTAAATATGAGAAGTTTAAGTAAAATTATTTGTAAATTTAGAAAAGAAATAATTTTTTAGAATGGTTTGAAAAAGAAATATAATTGTTTGGATGGTTGCCGTTTAGTTGTATAGTGTTGTTAATTTCAAAGTAATATTTGTTTTGCTATTTACTTAAATTCTATTGTAATTGTATTTAAATTCAACGCTAGGTAATAGAAAAAGACTCATAACGACCTACTTGATGTGGTCGCGTCGTTACATCTTGATATTTACTTTTCATTTTATCTTTATTTATTATTTAATAATTATATTTAATCTTTTATCCTACCTTTTCATTGTAGCTTTATACAGTATTTCAACTTTTCTTATAGATTTATCATTCAAATTATGAATGTGTGACATTATATAACGACAAAAATCCATACAATCTATCCAAACACTGTATTTATTAAATAATACAATACGATACGATATAATATAACACCATACTATGAAACAATATGTCACAACCATTCATCCATTCAGAAATGTCTAGTAAATAATCATTTTGTTGTTTGCTCAAGTGATATGCCTTATATACTACTAGGGGTTCAGTCCAATTTTTTTATTTTTAGTTTGGTAATAATATATAATAATAATCAAAACCTAACTAAAATAATTTCGATTCAGTTTAATTTTTGTAATTTTCAATCAATTTATTTAGAAGCAATTATTAGTATTTCTATTATAGTAGATTGTCTATATATATCAATAAAAAAAAATATCTTCCTTCTTCAAACTTCTATTAACACGAGATACTTTATAAATCGGACACCCTATTTTTTTCCTTTCATATTTGACCTGTTACAAACCACTAAGATTTGATAGTGATAGAATCTAATGATGCTTTTGTTGATAATTAATGTAATTGAATATGTGCACTAATGATAAGGATTAAATCTTTATCAATGGACTAATAACACAAAATTAAGGGCAATTGTCTTGGTAGTAGGTATTGATGTGTATTTTTGCATAATATATCTCACCAAAACCTCCAAATTAAGACTTAATTTTTTGCAGATGTAGCTATCACTTTAATTTCTTTCTTCATTATCATTTTATTTCCCCCCTCTATTACTGTTTACTCTAATTTTTTTCTCCTCCAAATAATAAATTTTTGGAGTTAATGACAAAAACACATTTGATTAATTATCATGTTTTTTTGAGTTTTGTATCTTAAATATATATTATTTTTCTTTTTTTTAATTTTTTTTAAAAAAGAAATTAAACTATCACTTTCTTTGTATTAAAACATCACTAAACGTTGAGTTGTGTCGAGGTAATTGGCCCCTCTCTCTAACTAAAGATTCAATTCTTCAATTCAGGAACGCTAGAGATTGATTTTATTTTTTTATCTTTCGCTTGAGACTGATTGAATTGAATCTTTCAATTTTTTTATTTTCTAGGTTCTTTTAAAGGAAAATTGCACGGTTAACTACTTTATTAGTTAGCATAGGTATAATTTTAGTTAATTTCACTCACAATCAATATTCAATAATAATTACGTGAGTTAGAGGTTCGAGTTTGTATAAT